ACCTTGGTGATGTCCTGCTGCATGCTTAGGTCCACCGACCATGGCACCGTGTCTGCTCGCGCCGCTAAAGTTGCCACCATATCTGCCATGTTGTTCCCTTTGTTCTCTGCGTGCCCGCGGACCCACTGAGCCTCCACCTTTCCAGGTCTCTCCTGGACCACCTGGTGTAAAGCGGCCCATATTCCTGCAAAGTTGCTACGATGTCGTTTCCTCGGAAGTGTGTACAGACGGTGTTTGACGAGTTGTTGGTATTGTTGCACCACAGATTGGTTATCGAGTTGGACTATGATGTCCTGGTTTGGAGGCGCCGAGATTGTTGCCGCGAAAAGTCCTATTAGCTCCGCTTTGGCTGAGGAAGCGAACCCGTCTGTACGGCCCTGCACCGTCCTGATAACTGTGTTAGAACGGTCCACTATACCAAATGCCATTGCGACCACTTCCTGACCTGCGTTGATCATAGAGCCGTCGGAAGAGATGACTCGCGGCTTTGTGTTGTCCACTGTCGTGCGCCTAATCTCCTCCACTTGCGCTGCTGCTGCTGGTGTGAGCCCATCGATTTTTGCTAGACTTTTTTTATTTTTTTTATTCTAGAATTGCCTCTGATCTCGCTCTCTTTAATCTGATATATATGTCAATTCGTACTGTAGCACATGGACCTCGGGTTTAACTGCTAATTCGACGTCGACCGTGGTTTCAGTAAGGGAGGTTGATCTAACATTACGTTCCTCATGGTACTTGTCCTGCTCACATCGTACCGTCTGGCTCGTCACCATCTAGGTCGTGCGACATCACGTTTTCGCATGGTAATAGTCCTGCTTGGCATTCCGACTCGCTCGTCACCAGAGTTGTTGTGAAGGATTGAACCCATGCTTGGAGATAGGCGGAGCCTCCACGCTCCCGGCTTGCTTGACTTGAAATTTCTTCTGAGCCCGTGTTATACTCGGAAAATTTCCCAAGTAGGAGTGCCCTCTCCTAATCATGCACAGGGAAGACGTGCTACTCCGGTTTCGAACCAGAGACCTTTAGATCGAAAGGTGGAAGCTTTTCCAACTAAGCTGAAAGGCTCGCCCGCCTTTTTTTTTTTTTTACTGACAAGGACCCCCAGGGCCATGGAATTTGTTAGCTACGTTCTATGAACAAAATGTGGCCTGCTGTAGCGCTTCATAGCCGGTCCGGGGCCAGAAGGCTCTTAAAATGACGGTTTTTAACATCCGCTTCTGATGAATATCTATAATATATATAATTATATGAAAAGGACATTACATCAATTAAATGGGGTTGTAGCTCAGTGGTAGAGCGCTCGCTTTGCATGCGAGAGGCCCGGAGTTCAATCCTCCGCTGCTCCATAGTTTTTGCAATATTTCTTTTTGGACCCTGCCACTCTCCTCGAGCGGGCGCTTGGGAAGGAATAAGGAATGGAATAATATATTCTTACCCCCCCGTCAGCATCTTATTCTTACGGGGGTCATCAACTCCTGCACTAAGTCCATGTAAACGTTCCCAATCTTTGAACGTCAATTGCGCAACAATTTTTTATGCTACTCCCTACTCTTCTTAATA